AGCCATGGAGCAGAGCACTTCAAACATCATGAAGCATATAAATACCATAAGGAGCCATCTGGTAGAAGATCAATCCGAGGAGACCAATAGGGATGATCACGTGAGCGAGTCAGATTACGAAGGTGGGAATATGGTGAATGATACCCTCCCAGATGCTTTTGAAGAATCACCTATTGTTGAACTTGATAAAAATTATAGTAGTCTCGAGTTGTTTTTTCAAGAATACAGGCAAAAGTTTCGAATGGTACAAGCTGTAACTAACGAAGTCACAGATCACTATGATTTCCATATAGAAACTCACCAGCCATTTGATTTACCATTAGTCTTAACCCCTGACGAGGAGAGAATGGAGCAGATAAGTCATGACATTGAAGGAGAGTTGGGAAAAGATAATCACGAGCTCCAAGAGAGTGGTAACAAGGTAGATGATCCCCATGATGAAGGATTCCCGCTCCACATGCAAGATTACTCCACGTATGTTAGTCCAGGTTTGGATTTCTTTGATCCATTCCTCGATGATGATATTTCTTTTTGTGTGGAGAATGATCACAACTTCTTGGAGGATATTAATAAGAAGAGTGACGAAATAAATTGGGATGCATTCATGGAGAGTGATAGCGAGTCAAGAGGAGGTGCTCAGAATTTTCATGGTACATTCGAACGAAGAAAGGAGACATTTATGATACATTTTGAACAAGAGGATGAAAGTTTCATCCTTCACTTCTGTGCTGAAGAGGGTTATGAAGACCATGCGCTTCCTAAGTGTTTTCAAGAATTTAAGAATCTGCGTCACTTAATGGCATTTGTTGAGAGGAAGCTGGAGACGTTGATTATTAGTGCACCACTGCAGTCTTTGCTATTTGAGAGCATATGAGGTATCGTTGGGCAAACGATGTTAAAAATAGCGCTTGTTGGGAGGCAACCCAAGTTTAATTCTGCACTTTTGTCTTTGTTTGTTTGCTTTTAAAAAAAAAACCCCGAAAAAAAAAGAAAAAAAAATCCGGGGTGTTTCTGTTTTTGTTTTTGTGTTTGTGTGTTTTGTTTTTGCAGCTCAGGGTCTTATTTTTGGGATGATGTGTCGAGGATCACTTGACTCAGTTTAGTTCTGCACCGACCAGCGCCTTAGGGAAGTTTCTGCAACTCTTATAATTGCCTATTTGTAATGTTGACTTGAGTTGAGATTGAGCACGCGTGACCCTTTCCTCTTTACCCCTTGTGCATAGTGCATTTTTGGTCATCGAGGGTGATGCCAAAGTTTAAGTGTGGGGGAGTGAATTGGGCATTCGGGCAGTAGTTGTCACATGGGATTACTAGAGTTAGCATGCGCAGGTGTTAGTTGTATATTCATAGAAAAGTCATGTCAAAATTTTTGAAATTTTTTTCTTAAACTGTGTCTTTGTGAGTTGGCTAGCCTGTTGACTATGCTTTTAGAACATCTTTGAATTGGTTAGGCTTAAATTGCTTGCACTATAACCTAATTTTTGAGGATGAAGGCATTAGTCACCCATTGAATCGTTTCACAAATCATCCACCTGGCCTGAATAAGTTCTTTAGGAGAAGCCATTTTGAGCCTGACCGTTTATTCTTTACCCAATTAATTGAGCTCCATAGCCCAAATGACCTGTGTTTCCCTACCCGTGAATATTTCTGACAAAGTCTTGGTGTTTAGGGAACTAGGGGATTAATTTGCTAAGTTTGGGAAATTTTTGTAGGAGCCACCGTTGGCACTGTTCTTATGCCCTAAGTGGGGTAAGAGCAGTCACTTTTTAGGAATTTGATATTTTCGAGGATTGCATTGTAGGCATGGATTCACGTTGAATAATTGAACCTTAATTGCTAATTTTCCTTGGTGAGACCGAGATTAGAATGGGGTAATGTCTAGTGAAAATCTGAAAATTGAAAAAAATTAATTGAATAGCTAGACCTCTTACCTTGCGAAAAAGAGAATGGGAGACCCGGTCAAAAAGCGTAAATGTTCTGCACAACAAGATGAGACTTGGGGATCTTTCGAAAGAAATGGCATTCTCGTTCCAAAATGACAAGGAAAACTGATCTTAATTAATTGAACTTGGAGGCTATTGCAAAAATTAGCATTAGTCCTTCGCGTACTTCAAGTATACGTCAAAGAACCAATGTGCGGCGACGGTTTAGCTTAGTTGTACACCATCTCTACTCTTTGCATAGGTTTAAATGATAGTTCGTAATTTGTGTCCTGCTGAATTCCCTGATCCTAAGAATAGCCCTGAAATTCCTGAATGCATTAAGTTTTTGTCAGATTATTCCAAAACTCTCAAAGAAAGGGATTTTAATTCTTGCCCATCCATTATTCACCACTGTTTTCACAAGTCCTTCTGATCAATAGCTAGTTCATTAGTGTTTGTTGCCACTCAAAGGAGTTGTGAATAATTTTGTCATTGAAGTTAGCCAGAGTACAAAGATGTAGTTTAGGGAAGAATTTTCTTGTTTCAGTTTGTCTGTTCTGTGAGTATCCATGTCACTACCTGTGCATGCTAATTGTTTTAATTTCGTGTAGTGATTATCGTAAGTCCCGATGTTTAGTTTGCTTGAGGACAAGCAAAGGCTTAAGTGGAGGGGAATCTGATAAGTCCGTATTTAGACACACATTTGATGCGTGTTGGGATCGACTTTTGATAGTTTTCCTAGCTTTAAGGTGTTGCAAGTCTCAATTTTAGCTCAAGTTATGTTTACCGGGCATTGGTTCGAGTTTTGTGTTGTTTGAAGTCAAAATCAGGAATTTAGAGTCCGGCACCGGCGCTTGAAGAGAAAATAGGACAACTTGAGAAGCATTTGTGAGTGAATTGATAGCTTTCGAGGTCACCGGGAGGTTCACCAATGAAGATTTGATGACAAAAGAGCTTTAGGATTGGCTACGGGATCAAAAGAAGACAAATAGAGCTTGAAAATGACGTTCAGAATGTTCTTATGTCAATCGTTCAAACATATCTCTTTGTAGAAGCATCCAAAAGACACGATTCAAGTTGAATATGAAATCCAACTTCAAGGGCTATAAATCATATAAAGACACCATTGCAAGAATCTGAGAGGAAGAAGGTGAAAACAGACGATGAAGTCAGATGATCCCTGTTGCGATTTCAGAATGAGACCTTCCACCATTTTATTTATATCTCTTAATTGGATGATTCCAATCTAACTCGGCAAGTTGTGGTGGATAGAGGACTTCATTATCTACACCTTTAATGAAGGAAGTTTTGTCAAATTCGAACTAGAAAAGCCGGAAAACTCACTGGAAGCCACGCACGCGTGTGTGTGGTGGACGCACGCGTGCGTCCAACTGTTTTTACGCGCAAGTCTGTCGGACGCACGTGCGTGCCCCCTGGAATCCTAATTTCGCCCGAATTGCTCCATTTTTACTATTTAAACAGCCTGTAAACCCCTGTTTTGAGGGGGGAGCTTAGAGAGAGGTCTAGGGACGAAATTTCTTCTACTTTTCCATCTTGTTCTTCAATTCCCTTGGATTATTTGTAAGTTCCATCTTTTTAATCAATGACAATTAATTCTATTCTTCCCAATTCTATTGATTCTTCAATTATGAGTTGTGAGTAGTTTTAATAAGTGATTTGGGATTGATGAAGGGGTTAATCATGATGTATGGCTAGTTTCTTGATGGATTAATTGCATGAATGCCGTTTAATTTGTGTTTGAACAATTTAATTGCTATCTTTTGTAACCTGGAACCGCGGCTAGATTTACAATTGATTGTAAAATAAATTAAGAGAGATCTAATTTATTCTGAGACACATTCACACACACTTAATCGCTCGCTAAGAGATTAGTAGCGATTAAGGGGCCGTAAGCTTGCTCGTTTTGGCAATAATTTAGGACCCTGTCGCATGAGAGATCAGTCTGGTCCCCTAAATTATTGTACTCTACGCCGCGAGAGCAGTAAGAACTTAGTATTGATTAGCTAGGCTCAATTAAATTAATTTCATGTAATTAAGCCTGATCTGCGAAAAATCTGATTACCCCGGAATCAATCCTTGTTCCCTACTGTCATTAATTAGAAAGAACCCATTAGTTTAATTTCTTTTATTTTAATCGTTCATTCACATTAGTTAATTTTCCCAATCAATCAAATCTCGCACGACGCATTTATTTTATTTATTTTTAAATCGCTGAATTTATTTAATTCTTAATTTCCTTTTGTCCGTCCAAGTGGAGGCGATACTCGTACTTACACCACTATTTTACAATCTATTTTAAGTGCGAGAAAACTCACATCAATTGCTCAACATCTTCTGTTCTAGCCCACTTGAAGACTTCAGCTTCCTCAATGATGAAGTGGGGGAGCATTCTGATCAGTTCAGAGAGAGATCTCACTCTCCACTTCCTCCATGCTAGAACCTTGATAAAGTGTTTGTCTAGGATAGAGGAGATATCCTCCTGAGGTTCTGAGGGCTCAGGGGTTCTGTTGACTTCATGATGTGCTGGTGAGGAAGTCAGCAAGGGTAGATCAGGCATAGTTGCAGAGGGAGATCTGTGAGATTCCCCCTGAGTAGTGGCATCCAACACTACTACTTCATCTTCTGAGTCACTTGACTCGAACACAATCTTCTTGCCTTGCCAGACATTCGTGATAAGTTGCACAGAGGGGGTTAGGTTAACACGTTCCCACTGAATTGCAGGAGTCAGAACCTTGGCCTTCTTCACAATGGGAGAGGCAGAAGGGGTGCTTTCTGTAGAAATAGAAGAAGGTGCTTTTCTCTTTATCACAAACTTCTTTGCCACCAGCTTCTGGACTTTAGCTGTGGCAGCTTTCTTTGTGACAGCTTTCTTCACGGGCTTTCTTATCAGAAGCTCTTCTTCCTCGGAATCTGAGGGGGTAGAGGGTTTCTGCTGTTTCTTCACAGCCTTCTTGGACTTGATCACCTTCTGTTGGAGTTTCTCCCGGTTAAACTCCAGAGTCCTCAACCTCTTCTGTTCAGCCTTCAGAGCTACTCTCCTATCATTTGAGGTGTTGAGGAAGAGTAATTTGGTGTAGTCAGTCTCAACGGGGTTTCTCAACCCTATTTTGGCCTTTAGCAGAGTTTCTGATAGCAGAAGGCCATAACCCATGGGGTTTTTGAAGAGACCGGTTTCCTTATCTTTCTTTTTGATAAATTTAACTAGGGACTTGATGATTACCTGTCCCCAGTTGATGTTCATCCCATGATGAACTGCAAAAACAGCTTTTGCATTGAGAACTGTCATATCGTCAGTAGAGGTGCTCTTGCTCCAGACACACTGTAACACCCCCAAAATAATACTAAAAGAAATAAACTTTTATTATTTATTCAGAACTTTCAAATTTGTTTGCAGCGGAAATAAGCAATAACAAGAATAAGGGGCGTGTTACCGCCACACCCAGCCTAAACTGACTGGATGCTAAGGCTATCCACCATAAATGTATCTAAAGCAATTACTAAATTCAACATTTGAAATAATGAAATCTAACAGAGTTTATTCTAAACGAGGCTACTCTAAAAGTCTTCTAGGAGCGCTCTCAAGGAATCAATCTTCATATATCACCTCATCTGTAGCATAAGAAAATGAAAGAAACAAATAACACAAAAAACTAGCTTTCGCTAAGTAAATCCCACCCAACCCCGTAAAATAATAGTTTTGTTGAAAAATAAGCATTTGTATATAATATATACAAAAACGAGTTTCCAATAATTTAGTTTCAAAAAGAGTGATAACATTTTCAAAAAGTTCCTTCAATAATTCTTGTAAATATTCCAAAGAAAAAATTCTCCAAGTACAAAAATATTTGTTTTTCCTCAAAATAGCTTTATAGCTACTCCTCCTAGTCATTTAGACAGGCGGTGCTCAAGCGTTACCTCGATTCCTGAGCCCAGTGAACCGTTGTTTTGTACGGTCACTCCGATCTCCTCTCGGTACCTCATCTCCTCTATTAGAATCTAGACTTCTACCTTAAGTGTGCACACCCCCTAAAGGGATTCCAAGCCCTCTGAGTAGTACGAAGTCTAAGTAGTTCTGACGTCAACGTCTCCCTACTCCAAATGGGATATACTCCCTAAGTTCTGGGTTCAAAGACCCTTAAGAGAATAGGTACTACTACTACTGCTCTAATAAAAGGGATCTAATGCCCAATTGCTCGGGGTAATTACCGAACCCTCCAAATTCATTTAATTTATTTTAAACCTCTCAATTCAAGTAGTAGTAGTCCTAACCCTCCCTCACCATTAACGGACGTGAAGGTGGCCCGACACCTACGGATTTCTCCCGCGGTGCCCCCGGTTATGAAAACGGTCTTTTATCTTGTCTTTCCAAAAATCTCATATTTATGTCTCTTGGACAGAATTTCACCACAAGGATTATTATCCTTAAATTCTTAACTTTATATCTTCCCAAAATATCTCATATAATCCAATATATCTCAAAATCACAACAATACAACTTGTTCACAAATTCATCATTCAAAATATTCATACCATCATCACATATCAAGCAAATAATTATTTACGAGGAAAAATATAATTTTGGTTGCAATGTGACTTACCTCAAATTGCACACAGATATTCCTAACAAGCTTCTCTAACGGCTTCCTCTCCCTGTTCACCTTCTATTATTTTAAAATTTCCAAAATCAATAATCATTCTAACTATAGCTTATTCGCCCTACCCTTTTATTCATTTTACTGTTCTATGTTTAATTAATGTAAAAGTCCCCAATAAGTGATTTTGTTCGTATACTCTAGGTTAATCCAATATTTTGATTAGTCCTATTTTATTATAGTCTACTAGTCAGTCCGCTAGTTATTTTAATTAGTTCATATTATGATCCATCAATTACTAATACTAAAATAGTTGAGTCCAAAAATCTATAAGTTAAATTGATTATCTTATTTAGTCGAGTAACTCAAATTATTCATTTTAATCAATTAAATTAATCCTTGTCCTTATTAGTGATTAATAAATTAGTTCCAATAAGCATGATGTAGGATTTTGTGGTACTATTATTATACTAAATTGCCTGCTTTATTTCATGGCTGTTTTAATTTTACATTAGTTAGTCGGTTTATCTAAATGTAAGCCAAATAATTCAATTAGTCCGATTTAACTGATAACGATTAAAGTTCAAGTTTAAACTAATAAGTCCACTGATAATCATAAATTTTATAACTAAGAATCAATCCGTTATTATTATTATTATTATTATTATTACTATTATTATTATTATTAATTTTCAGTCCAAATTTTTGGCCAGCCCAACTGTGAAGTGTCCGGCCCAGCTAAAAAGAAACCCAGCCCATAGTCTGATTAAACAGCAGGGGAGTACGATCGTCTTCTTCTTCCCCTTCTCATGCTACGCCGGAAAACAAAAAAAAACGCAGACATACCTCTACGGGATGACGGACGGTGGAAAGGTAAGGGTACGTAGTGGAGGCTCTCACCGATGGTGATCTTCGGAGTTAGCAACCCAGCCCGGCGACGCAGCAGCTAGTTAGAGCTCCTCCCTCTTCCTCCGGCGTGAAGGTCCGGCCAACTGCAGCGATTTTCTTTTCTTCCGGCAGCGTTCGTTTCTCCGTCCCGTTCTCTCGCTCCTCTCTAATTCTTTCTCCTCCTTTCTTCACTTTCTTTTCTCTCGTGCGTGTGATATAGTATATACAGTAATATATAAATATATATATATATATATATATATATATATATATATATATACACGCTGCAATTGCTGCTCGCGTAGGTGTACGTTACGTTGCCGTCAAGCCTTCATATATATACATGCATGGAGGGTTCTGGCTTTCTGGTTTTGAGTTATACGTTAAAAATCTTTTGCATTTACTTCTAATTATTGAGATTTCCTTGTAACGCAGCACTCATAAGGAATAAAATCCGAGCATGCGTTAGTATTCCCATATACTCTCGTATGTACTAAGCTGCAACAACTTTCTATGTGTGGGTCTTCTATATGTCGTCGCTATGCGTAATAATCGTTCATTATATACGTGCACTTCGTATTTTAAGCAACGTAATGTTGCAAATCCTACCATTTTAAAGTTAGAAAAGTCAAACTTGGTTATAATTGTTATTATAAGAGCCGTATATAGTATGAAATGAGTTTTGCATATTCTCACTAATGTCTCATCTTATTTACGGATAATTTCAAAATAGTATTTTAAATAGTATTTCCTGTTACAAAACATCACTTTTGTAATAGTCATAAAAATGTTATTCCTTTTATTGAAACGTTTTTATTTGACTAAAAGTTCATAATTGTTAGAGTTTTATCTGATTCACTTAATTATAAAAATCTCACTTTCGTAAAAGTTTATCTCATTAATTTTTTTTTGAAGTGTCACAATCTACCTTCCTTAAAAGATGCTTCGTCCCGAAGCATAAGCTATATGTCAAAATTTTTGAGTATTACATTCTACCCTCCTTAAAGGGTTGCTTCGTCCTCGAAGCAAAGACTAAGACATAAGTATGAGTTACCAAGTATTCCATGCTACCCCCGAGAAGTAAGGTTACGTCCTCGTAACTAAAACATTACCTTTACTAAATAGCTCAGGATAACGTTTTCTCATGTCATCCTCCGTCTCCCATGTGGCATTTTCAGCCAAGTGATTTGACCACAAAACTTTGACCATTTGAATGGCCTTCCTCCGAGTTTCACGTGTCTTCGTGTCTAAGATTTTCACAGGTCTCTCTTCATACGTCAAGGTTTCATCCAACTCGATCACCTAATTACGTAAAGGGTTATTTCAACGTCTACTAAACCGCATCCTAGCTATTTAAAAGTGAGGTCCTTACCTCCGGGTTTAAGATATGCGCCTCATCACGGACATACTTCTTTAGTAGAGATATGTGGAATACATCGTGTACCTTGCACACGTTAACACGTTTCAGTTGATTTTTCCTAACTTCGGAATATGTTTAGAAAGAACGGATTTAATCCTTACCTTACTCAATTCTGTGGGTAGAGCCAACCTGTAAGCCACTCTTCCCACCTTCTCCAGAATCTCGTAGGGTCCGATGAATCGAGGACTCAGCTTTCCTTTCTTCCCGAATCTCATAATGCCTTTAGTAGGAGAGACCTTGAGAAGTACCTTCTCTCCCACCTCGAATTCAGCCGGTTTTCTTCCTAGATCCGCATATGATTTTTGTCTATCTTGCGCTGCCTTCATCCTTGCCTGAATGAGTTTGATCTTGTCCATCGTGTCTTGCAAATATTGTGGCCCTAAGACAACCTGGTCTACCATATCTCCCCAGCACAATGGGCTTCGACACTTTTGACCGTATAGAGCCTCGTACGGAGCCATCTTAATGCTCGCGTGGTAACTGTTATTGTACGAGAACTCTATTAGGTCTAAGTGCTCGTCCCACGATCCTTGCAAGTCCAGCACATAGGCTCTCAGCATATCCTCAAGTGTCTGAATAGTCCTCTCGGTCTGACCGTCCGTAGTAGGATGGAATGATGTGCTCAGTTTCAAAGTGGTCCTCATAGCAGCTTGAAGTTCCCTCCAGGATTGGGATAGGAATCTGGAGTCTCTGTCAGATACAATATCTCGGGGTACGCCGTGATACTTCACCACATGCTTGATGTAGGCTTTCGCTAGCTTATCCATGCTCCAAGTTTCATTCATCGGAATGAACCTGGCGGTCTTGGTCAATCTATCAACAATCACCCAAATCTTATCTTTCCCGGACTTTGTTAAAGGTAAACCCCTGACAAAGTCCATCGAGATAGAGTCCCACTTCCACGTTGGCACCTCAGAGGGTTGCACGAGTCCCTTGGGCTTGCACCTCTCGGCTTTCACTTTTTGACAGTTTAAGCATCGTGCCACGAACTCCGCCACCTCGATTTTCATTCTCGGCCACCAGAAGTTTTGCTTCAAATCTTTATACAATTTGTCTCCTCCCGGGTGTACTGAATAGGACGTGTTGTGTCCTTCTTCCATGATTTTCTTTTTAATGTGCTCACACTTCATCGGGACACACCACCTACCCTTATAACGGATACTCCCATCTTCATGCAATCGAAACGGTCCGTTTACCCCGTCCTTCATCCCGACCTTGACTCGCTCAAGCTTCACATCACCTGGTTGACCGGCCTTTATTTCATCAAAGATAGAGGGTAAAATGGTTATAGTGTATAACCGAATCTCACCCTCTACTTCCCCATGCTCCTTGACTTCTAAATTCAGCCTCTGAAACTCCCGGTATAGCTCTTCTGGTAGTATCCACGCTGCTCGGCCCGTGTGTTCCGTTTTTCGGCTTAAGGCATCAGCTACGACATTGGCTTTTCCTTCGTGATATAGGATCTCCAAGTCGTAGTCTTTAACAAGTTCTAGCCACCTCCTCTGTCTCATGTTGAGTTCCTTCTGCGTAAATATGTACTTTAGACTCTTGTGGTCCGTGAATATCTTGCATGGCGGTCCGTACAAGTAGTGCCTCCAAATCTTCAAGGCAAACACCACCGCAACCAACTCCAGGTCGTGGGTTGGATAGTTAACTTCGTGCACCCTTAGTTGTCGGGATGCATAAGCTACTACCTTCCCGTTCTGCATCAGTACACAGCCCAGTCCATTCTTGGATGCATCGCAATAGATTTCAAATCCATCAGTTCCCGATGGAAGTGTCAGTACCGGTGCAGTCGTCAGTCTTTTCTTCAGCTCTTAGAAGGCTTTCTCACAATCATCCGTCCACTGGAACTTTGTGGTCTTCTTCATCAAATTGGTTAATGGTCTAGCTATCTTGGAGAAGTCTTTTACAAATCTCCGATAGTAGCCCGCTAACCCAAGGAAACTTCGCACTTCCGTAACAGTAGTAGGTGCTCGCCACTCGGTTACTGCTTCGATCTTCGACGGGTCCACAGATACTCCATCTCGAGTGATGACGTGACCCAGAAATGCTACTCGGTCTTTCAAAAAGTCACACTTGGAAAGTTTGGCATAAAGCTGATGTTCTCTCAAGGTCTACAAAACGAGCCTCAGATGCTCTTCATGATCCTTCTCGTTCTTCGAGTATACCAAGATATCATCAATGAATACCACCACAAATGTATCAAGATAGGGGCGAAATACACGGTTCATTAGGTCCATGAACACCGTGGGTGCGTTGGTTAAACCAAACGGCATCACAGTGAACTCATAGTGCCCATATCTCGTACGAAATGCAGTCTTCAGTATATCCCTCCCCGCTATCCTCACTTGATGGTAGCCGGATCGAAGGTCAATCTTGGAAAATATACCCGCTCCCTTCAATTGATCGAACAGGTCATCGATGCGGGGTAGAGGGTATCGGTTCTTAATGGTAACACGGTTTAGCTCTCGGTAGTCAATGCACAACCTCAAGCTACCGTCCTTCTTCTTCACAAACAAGACCGGAGCGCCCCAAGGTGAAACGCTCGACTTGATATAGCCCTTCTCGAGAAATTCCTCCAGTTGTTCCTTCAGTTCTTGCATCTCTTTCGGAGCCATCCTGTACGGTGCCTTGGAAATCGGTGTAGTCCCCGGCATCAAGTCAATGGAGAACTCAACCTCCCGTTCCGGAGGCATCCCCGGAATCTCTTCTGGAAACACGTCAGGAAACTCACTGACCACAGGAATCTGATTAGTCATCTGCTCCTCATTGTGGGTCTCCTTCAGCATGCATAGGTATGCTTCGCATCCCTTCCGGATGTACCTCCTCATTTGTCGCATCGTCATCAACTTGGCACCTGGTTTGTTCACAACTTCCTTGAATGATACTCGCTTCCCGCTCGGGCTCTTCATGATCACCTTCTGCTCGTTGCATAAGATCTTTGCCTTGTAGCTCCCGAGCCAATCCATGCCCAACACCACGTCAATGTCTTCGAGGTCAAATTGCACCAAGTCCCCCGGTATACTGACGTCGGCTATAACTATGGGTACATTCATGTATACATTTCTACAAGCTACCACACTATTATTTGCTGTTTTTACATTCAATTCTATACTAGTTGCAGGTTCTATCTTTAACTTCTCAACAAATTTAGAAGAGATAAAACTGTGAGAAGCACCAGAATCAAATAGGACATAAGCAGGAGTGGTATTAACATGAATGATACCTGCCACCACATCGTGTGCGCGGGCCTGGGCCTGATTCATTACATAAATCCGACCCTGATTGGGAGCATTTTTGTTGTTGCCTCCTCCCTGATTCGATTTTGGCCCCGATCACCGTCTCCAGCACGATTTCTCGGGTTGTGGTTGCCCCGGTTCTCAGCTCTTGGCCTATTTTCACCTTGATTTCCGCCTCGATTGCCGCCTCTATGATTCGGGCCCTGGTTCTGTTGACCTCTCCCCACGTTATCCCAGCATTCGAATGCACGGTGGCCCATTTTGCCACATGTGTAGCATTTGACCCTGTTGCCAGCACAGTCCACCCCTGGGTGGTCTCTATTGCATTTTGCACAGTTGAAATGCCTCCCCTCTGCCCCATTTCGACGGTCACGCCTCTGATCATGACCCTGGAACTTCCTCTCATCCCTTGGGCGATTATGTGTCAGTTCATAGTGATGAACCTTGACCCGCTCTTCCCTTTGCCTATCCTCCTCTTCGTTCTTCCGGATTTTCTTGTGGGTTTCTCTTTGAAGTTGAATCACCCGATATTGTTTGGCAGCCCTATAGTAGGTATCATCTAGGGTTTGGCATTCTTGCACACTCAAAGCCTTCTGAGTGTCATAATTGAGTCCCCTGATGAACTTCTCAACCTTGCTCTCCTCATCGGGTACTAGTGATGATGCAAACTCTGCCAGCGAGACAAATTGAGAGTGATAGTCCTGCACTGTCATCTCCCATCGCTTTAGATGTAGAAACTTGTCATAATTTTCCGCCTGCACGTGTGGCGGGTAGAATCTTTTCCGCAGTGTACGCTTAAACCGTTCCCAGGTGAAATCTGGTTGGGCGCGCAATCCTGGTCCCATTTTAACCCACCATCGATCTGCTTCTTCATGCAGATAATAAACAACGATGCCAATTCGTTGCTCTTCTGGGCAATTGATTGTGTCAAACAGCTTATCAAATGTGCGTATCCAATTCTCAAGAATGATTGGATCCTCTTGCCCAAAAAAGCTCGGTGGATTTCGCGCCGCTACACGGGTTTCCATGTCGTTGCCGTTATTATGCGGCTGGTTGTTTTGGAGTACCGTAGTTGCAATAGTATGAGTGAGTTGACTCAGTAGGTGCACAGTCTGAGCCAATTCCGCGTTGGTGGGTACAACATTCGGGTCCCTTCTTGGTGGCATGGTGTCTCCATAAGATAATAAATACTTAGTATTAGTAAGAATTTTTTTCCTACTTTCCCTAGGGATCCTAGAATCAAGGGTTCCATAGGCCATATGTATATCACAAAAATAAATTGTATCTTACATGCAATCACACATAAGATTCACAGTTGGCATAGGAACATGTTTTTGCACATAGTGTTCGTACATACCTTCACAGTTGGCCTTATTAGGCATTCCCTTCAACATTTTGGGGTTCCCATATGGACCCGCAATCATCACAATTATCATCATATTCATGCAAAGAAAAGAATAATACTCACAAAGTCCTCACCACGTTCCTAGGAGGTTATTTCCTAGCTATTTTATTTCCTAATTTTTTTTTTTGAAAATTCCCATTTTCGAAGGTATGATTTCCAAAGTTTTTCTTCCAGGATTTCGAACAACAAAGTTTCAGCACAAGGAGAAATTCCCAGTTAGTTGGACGAGCGCAAAGTCTCAATTATGCACCAACCAGCTTAGACTGTTATCGTCTTTGTGACAGAATTTCTCCCTACGACCTATTACCTTGTGTTCTCATCCCTTCGGAAAAACTAAGGGGCTTTGATACCAACTTGTAACACCCCCAAATTTTCTTTCCAAAATAATACTTAAAGAAATAAACTTTTATTATTTATTCAGAACTTTCAAATTTGTTTGCAGCGGAAATAAGCAATAACAAGAATAAGGGGCGTGTTACCGCCACACCCAGCCTAAACCGACTGGATGCTAAGGCTATCCACCATAAATGTATCTAAAGCAATTACTAAATTCAATATTTGAAATAATGAAATCTAATAGAGTTTATTCTAAACGAGGCTACTCTAAAAGTCTTCTAGGAGCGCTCTCAAGGAATCAATCTTCATATATCACCTCATCTGTAGCATATGTTGGTCCCGTTTGTAATAGGAACAGTCTAGAAGGGGGGTGAATAGACTGTTCAGGAATTTAAACTTTTCTCTAAGTCAAGTCTGACTTATCAGAGATGGTCAAAATCTGGTGACAGAGATGGTCAAGTTCTGATGGCAGAACTAGACCAGGCAGCGGATAAGTTTCTGTCCGGGTAGCCTCTAGAAGAAAGCTAAGGCAAAATGCCTTTCTGGTAACTCTGAAGGGAGATCTGCTGGACACAGATTCCAACCTAAAGAGTTAGTCAGTAGAATCTTAAGTGCAGAAAATAAAAGCTGAAAGTAAATGACACCGGGGTTTTTATAGTGGTTCAAGGAACAACTCGTTCCTCTAGTCCACTGTTCCACTAAGCTTGTAAAAGCAACAGTTTACAACGCCTTAGTCCCTAGAACTTAAGAAGCACTCCTCGTCTTCTTCAAGTCTAGTTGCCACCCGGGATGCAGTCCTGCTTCCTGATGGCTGGTCTCGTTTCACTGAGTCTCTTGAAGTATCACCACTTCACTTACTCCAGCTAATTTGAGACGTCCCTTCTTTTTCAAGAAGTGTTTGATATAGAATCAGTTTTCTCCAACGTTGCTTCTTCACAAAAGATGAGTATATGAAGCTCTCGAAGTGTTGAAGAACTGAGTAACTTTGCCTTTTGCTAGTTGGAGGAAGGATAGGAAAGTTTATCTTCCAACTGTGGCCTTTTCTTATTAGGAATGGAGTTTTAATCTCAAGAAGGTTGTTTACGCAAATTTATCTTGGCAAAGTTCTTTTCTTAGTTCTTCAGAGTGTATCTTATATACTGGGAGCAGTCTTCCCGTTGGAGTGTAGAAGACAGCTTCATTAAATGCATGTACTGTTGACTTGACCGTTTGGTCCTCCGACTTGCTATTTTGGGGGCGTAAAGATATTCGCATGGTCAATCATCAGCTTTAAATATCTCTTCGTACGTACAACATTAAATGTGCATTTAATGCGTGTACAGTGCCATGCTTCCGTTGAAAGGTTTGTAACCGTTAGGGGATTTCCCGTTAGTTTAACGACCGTTGAAAGGGCTTCCGGAATCTGGTGGAATTAGCAGAGTCTGAAGAGGTTCTCTTGTCCAATCTCTGAACTCCGTCTCTGTTGCCAACTCTGGTATCTTTCTGATGACCAGTTTCTGATGGCTTCTCTGGTGAGCAACTCTGGGAGCAACTCTGGTAGAGGCAAGATGGAACTCTGGCAGGCAGACTAAGCTAAAACTTACAAAAGAAATTCTAATACACAATTTCTAATGGGGTACTTTCAAATTCTAATTAACCTAGCATCATCAAAATCTAAATACATTTATTCCTTACAATTTCCCCCTTTTTGATGATGCCAAAACCCTTTAACTATTTCCAGAGAAGTGCCTTTCACCATAAAAAAATTTAAAGTTAAAAACTTTTCATTAGAGTCTTGGTGGGCAACTTAGCATAGGAGAATAGTAAGAGTGCGATACAATCAGATGGCAAAAGAATAAGTACGATAACAGAATATACACAAGAAAGTAAATAAGAACAGATATTTGAAAAGAGCCAAGCAAAAAGAGAGGCAGAGTTGGTATCTTATTAAACTGTTAGAGAAAGTAAAGCATTACAGAGTTAGATAAAAAGAGTTAGAGATCTTCTTCATCTACCTGTGGTCCTGCTCTGTCAATTCTCTCTAGTTCAGCATTTACCTTTGCTCTGATTGAGGCTAGATCCCTCGGATTCTGATAGTCATCCCAATGGGGTGCAAGTTTGCAATCCAAATAGTTTCTGACAGCTTCTGCAGAATTCTTGCCATTCAGAATCTTCATTCCGTACCACATCTCAGCTTCTTGGATCGAACCACCATGGTTGATCTGGACAAGTCCATCACTGTCCATGAACAGATTCTCTCTTTGAAGAGGAGTCATCAATTTCCTCATCTGTTCAAATTGAACTCTATCTGGCCTTGACAGACCACTCTTCATCCAATCAGTGAATGAAAAGGATGAAGGCTTTTTCTTTGAGCTTCTAGGAGGAGGAGGTGGGGGTCTGGTGCCTGTAGCAGCTAGCCTTTTCTTTCTAGTTGCATCAAAGTAAGGAGTAGGATCAACAGAGGAGGGTTCTCTGATAGAAAGAGCTCTGGTGCTGGGTCCTTCTTCTTCTCTGGTATCTTCCCCCTTTTTGGCATCACAAAGATCACCAAGGAGAAGTTCAATCTTGGAGAACTCAGAGGCTTGAGCATCTCTGATTTCATCAAGGGTTTCTGGCAGAGTTTGAGTGACAGAGGCAAGTCCTTCAATCAGGCTTTGTTGCTTGTCTACTGCAGATTGAAGATCCCTGGTGCTGACCTCTAGGAGCACCATCTTCTGGTACCTTTCTTTGTCAGATTTGAGAAGAGTTAGGCCTTGCTCTTGATGTTCCTTGCAGAGGGAGTGTAAGATGTTGAGTTTCTGGGAGGAACTATCAGCAGATTTCTGAAGAATGTGAACAGATTCTGAGATCTTGTTGATTGTTTGGTTCTGGGCAAGCAGAGCTTGAGAGTGAGAGTGGAGAACAGAGTTGAGTCCACTAACATCTCTGGAGACAGAATCAATCCTCGAGGTAGACGAATGCATGAAGTTGTGCAGATTCTCTGTTAGAGCAGTAACTTTATCTGACAGATGTTGAAATCCTATAGTGATTTGCAGATTGGTATGGGTGAGTTCTTCATGTTGTTTGTCATTTAACTCTATTATCTTGCTCAGATCTTGAACCAGTATGCCACCAAATGCTTCAGCAGATTTCACAAACTGGTTAAAGGGGATTTGGGATTCTTCAGATGTAAATCCAGGCGTTTCCAATCCTCTGCCTTTTGGTAATGGAGGAGCTCTGTTGGATGGTGGAGGGGAAGGAACTCTGGGGGGTGTCCTTCTCCTTTTGGAGGTTTCATCAACAGCAATGGAGGAGGTGAGGAATCCATCATTGTCACTAGATGAGGAGGGAACCCTGAAGATAGGTTTCTTCTTTGGTGTAGATGCTGCAGAGTGATGTGAGGATCTCTGAGGTGAGGCAGATTTGGATGAGGGTAAGGGGTTCTGGCGCTGGGGTGAAGAGTGAACAGGTGAGGCATTCTGTTGAGGGGGGGATGGTGGAGGTGAGGGTGAACGGTTTCTGAAGGGAACAATTGCTCTGCAGGGAGATGCAATTTTTTGTTTGGGTGAAGAGGGTCTGGAGTTGGATTTCTGGTGAGATGGTGTTCTGGTGGAAGGTGAGGTTTTCTGTTCTGGTGAAGGGGTTTTCTGGTGAGGTGGGGATAAAGGTTTAGATGGAGATTTGGAGGGTGAGGGTAGAGTAATAGGAGATTGGGGAGGGGAAGGAGGAGGTGTAGGAATTACCTCAAGAACAATCTCAGAGTACACAGATTCTCTCCACTCCTTGATCAGCTTCTCCATGGTAATAGCAATGTCATTCGCAGTGGATGGTTCTCCTTCCTCAAGAGCACTATGGCGAAATTTGATCATTGATTCTTTTCTCTTCTTCTCCATCAGCCAAGTATCAAATGCTTCCATTTCTTCTTCTTCCAAGGCTTTGACATGCCTTTCTGGAGAAAAGTCAGATGTGGGAGCTTTACCTTGATATCTGTCTTTCTTCTTTTGTAGGACAGAAATCAGAAAGGTAAGATTGAAGCATTTTGACACATCATCTGTGCCTACCCAGTGAAGAACAGCAGCTTCTTCTTCTTCATAGGCATCAAAGTATTGGATGATTTGTTGAAGAGGACCCATTCTCCATCTTCTCCAAGCTAGGACTCTGTCAAACTGCTTTTGCAGAATGATGTTGAAGTCGGTTTCTTGGTCCATCTCTGGTGAGGCTTCACGCTCTGGTGAGAGAGCAGAGTTGGGCAACTCTGGTGCAGAATCTGGGTAAGTCTCTGGTAGAGTGC